GGCGGCTCCTGGCCAGAGGCACGAGCTTTGGGCGCGAGCCAAAGGGCACGTGCCAAAGGGCTCTTAGCCTGTGGGTCTTAGCCTGTGGGTCTTGCTTGGAGGCCTTGTAAGAACCTGAGTAGAGTGCTGTTACTCAGTTCTGGAGAGAGAACTGCTGGCAAGGTAGCCATTTGGTCAGTCGCAAAGTTTTCAGGGTAAATCACCACAACAAGAGTTTATGCCGGACTTTGAGGGAAGTTCCTGAGGCTGTAGAAGATACATTTGCTCCTAGGGAGATGGATAACGAAGGATCTATTCCAATGACATGTCAGGGTTACACCATGATCATTTTTCTGTCTTGCCAGGAAATGCATTATACATGCTGCAAGTGCAAGCTTATAAGAATGCTTGAGGAGAAGGTGGGAGAACTCGAGGCACAGAACTGTTCACTGAGGAACATCAGGGAGGGAGAAAGGTTTTTAGACGTGAAGAAAGAGGGGCTCCTGAGAGAACGGCAAGAGCTAGCAAATCCTAAGCAAGAGGAAGGAAGTAACAAGGAACAGGTGGGTGAGTGGAAGAATGTGACCTTGAGGAGTAAATCATCAGGAAACAGCCAGTGGAGCTGCAAAATCGCTACCAGCCGCTTCTGATGGTGGAAGATCAGAATAGTGCACTCCGAGATCAAAAGGATGTGACCAATGTTCCCTCTAAGCTGGGAATTCTTGTGAGCAAAATTTCTACTTTGCGAGCTACTAGCATTAAAGTTCTGAGCCAGCGATTTGTCTGCTGCATAAATTAGTTTGCTTTGGAGCCATCCTTCCTGAGCTAAGACAAAAATCTGTGAGCTGCAGGCTAAAAAACTGTGAGGTATCTCACACTAACTCAGCTTAGAGGGAACACTGGATGTGACTGACACACAAACACATAGGCAGAGAAGGAACCAAGCTATTCCACAGAGGAAGAGACAAGTAGTGGTGGTTGGTGACTCCCTACTGAGAGGGACAGAAGAAGTTGTGTGCCGACCAGACAAAGAATCTTGAGAGGTTTGTTGTCTTCCTGGAGCGAGTATCTGAGATGTGACTGAGAGAATTCCAAGACTGGTCAAAACCTCTGATCGGCATGCTGACAGATGGGGGGAACTTCAGAACTTGGGGGAACTTCAGAAATGGACTTGATCTTGAAGAGCAGTTGCTTGAAAAAAGCTCCAGCACAACATCCCTTCTGGGTGCTTAAACAGCCAATATGCAGTTCGGTTCATGATCATAATCCTAAGAATAAATGTCATCTAATGTTTTTGTGGAGTGCTGTTGCAAAAACATAAAAAAGGGTAAAAAGCAAATGAAAAATGACCAAGGAGCATCAATATGCAACTGCTATATTGACATGTCGTATAGTGTTGTATCATATAATATACTACTACATAAAACAGCTATAAAATTGTCATTTCTAGACATTACAAAACAATGCACCATTGTGGTTAATATACTGTGGTTAATGTAGTTACTATACTGTTGGGAAATAAAATCATTGTTTTGCAAAGTGCTGGCCATAAGATTTCACAAGGTGCTTTACAACAGAAAATATAAAGAAGTGTCTGCATATTATTGTGTATACAACAATACATTATAATTGCATACCCAAAAAGGGGTAGAGAGAAGTGCATAGGACACATTTCCCTGCCTGAAGATGTAGCACATAAAATAAGTGCCTGTTATACTGTGATATGTAGCACTGCAAATATTGGATGAATCCAAAGGTGCCTTTCCTCAAGCAAGAGGGGTTGAGTCACATTTTACACCCTGCTCTAGAAGATTGCTCAAGGAAGGTGGAACAAAATCCAAACAAGCAGAAGCACAAAGACCTGCTATAGAATCTATCTATTGATTTTAGTACAAGCATTTGAAGAACAGCATGAGCCACCATTTTCCTTCTGCTCACTGTTCTTTGGATGCAAGCCATTGAATCTGTTAGCTCATGACTTGTGGCAAAGGAGCCAAAAGCAGTGCAAGGATCGTGTGGACAGAAGTAAAGATCCTGTAGGCCAACTTATTGCATAGAATCAAGTTTGGCAGAATAAGAGTTAAAAAAAACCCCTCACCTGCAGCTGGCCCCTCTGAAGCTGCAGAGATCGGCAATTTGCCATCACCACCCACATTGGCACCAGGCTCAGAAACAGCTGACGAGGAGCAGCCACAGATGGAAAGCCCTCCCAACTTGCCTCCAAGGGTTGCTTGCTTACGAGACTGACTCTGGCAGGACTTCGCAATGAGACGACGTATAGCTCGTTTGCGGAGCAGGTGGTCTGTTAGTCCTGAGTTTTGACAGACGCTTGGCTGCTGGTGCCACTGTGCTAATCGGAAACAGCAGCAGAGGGCTATTTAGCTTCAGGCTCTAAGTTGGCTCCTTTGTGGAAGCAAACTGGTCAAACTCCGCGATGCCTTGCGTTTACTCTACCTCCAGGTTCCAGACCTCATTTCTGCTCCTCTCCTCTGGCTTCTGGCTCTGGCTTGAATGACCTCGCTCCTGGTTTGTAATTTGGACTTTCACTCTTAGTTCCTGCTACCCTCCTCCAGCTTCTGACTCTGGCTTGAACGACCTTGCTCCTGGTTTGTGATTTGGACTTTCGCTCTTAGTTCCTGCTCCACTCCTTTTGGCTCAAGACCCCGGACTGAACGTGGACTTCCCTCTGCCTCCACCCCAGACCTTGACACAATATTGCTGGTGGCCATTTCCTCAGATGTTAAGGTCCTGCACCAGCTGGACGAATGGTCTTTGAAGGTACTGGGGGAACGAGGGGACTACTCGCTTATGACAGGGCCAGCACACTCCCAATTCCTCCTGTAAAAGGCAAGTTAGGGGTCATCCAAAAAGGACAGGCTAGACTCCTCTACTGCAGCTGTTTGAGAGGGGTGAGGCAAGAGAGAAAGGACTCTGGGTGAGAGCTAAGCCCCCTCTTCTCCAGCAATGAAACTCCCTAAGGCCAACCCAGAAACTCTGGAGGATGTAGCAGCCCTGGACTCCGAAGCTGGACTCTGGCATTTCCAAAGTAAAGTAATTAATAAAAGCAAAAAAGATAAAGGAGTAAGCACTGAAAATGCATAATGCTTCATAATTGAAACAGCTCCAGACTTCAGCCCAGGCAGTTGGACTCTGACAAATTGGTGGCCCATATGGGGATTGCTAGCCCATCCTCATTCATGTATCCCAACCCCAGTTGACTGGATGCCAAGCAATTCCTGTATCACACCTGCAACCTTTCCGTTTTCCCTGAAGGAGGCAAAACCACACTTGTCAGGCATCCTTGAAATCATGGATGTGGCTCATTTGGGGCAATGGCTGATGGAGTTGCTTCATGAAGAGGTACTCCAGCAGCAGGAAATGCCAGGCATCGTGATTCAAGATTTGAGCTGGACTTGGAAATCCACTCAGCCCATGGCCTGCCCTGGAAGACTCTGGGGTAGGGTTGCAACTGCAATTGTTCCACCTAACTAAGCTGAAGCGATGGAAGTATTCCTGGAAATATTTGAAAAGATAGCAGAAACATCTAAAGGCCCAATGTACCTACTTCCCCAAATCCTGTCTGACAGATGAAGTCCAGGCAGCATTGATGGCTTTGCCAAAGGACCAGGTAGCCAATTACATCACCATGAAGAAACTTCCTAACCGTAAGAGTGGTTGAGCAGTGGAACAATCTGCCTTGGGAGGTGGTAGATGCTCCTTTGCTGGACATTTTTAAGCGGAGGCTGGATGACCATTTTTCGGGTATGTTGTAGGGCTATCTTTCGCCTACGCTCATGCAGAGTGCATGGGGTTGGACTAGATGACCTGCAAGATCCCTTCCAACTCTAACATTCCAATGATTCTATGATTCCAGCCCCAAAGGATTTCTTGGCTGGGTTCCACACCCTGCTAAACATACTCAATGAGTATTTGATAGTTACTGAGTGTAGGGGTGATTGTGGGACCCTGGGCAAAAGTCCATGATGGGGCCCCAGAATCTGCCCCCCCAAGGCCAAGCAAGGGGCGGTCCTCGCCCTGTACAAGGTGAGTGGGAGCCATTGCCAGAAGCTGACTGCCTGAGTTGCAGACAGAGTGGGTATAAGCTGAGCTGGCTGCCCATATCCTGGACAGAGTAAGCCTGAGTGGCTGTTGCCATGAATGGGTGGCTCAGGCCCCAAACAGGTTGTGTGTGTGTGGTGGTGGTGGCAGGAGCAGGGCTGAATTATCCATAAGGCTGACACCTAGGGGATGTAGGGACTAGGGGCCCATATAGATAGATAGATAGATAGAGATAGATATAGATATAGTTATACATATAGATAGAGATAGAGATATAGATAGAGATAGAGATAGAGATAGAGATAAAAATTTTGCTGAGGCACTGTAATTTTTCTTCATAGATAACCTATAAAAATTGTGAATAGATTTCTTCAGGGGACCCTCAAAATGGACATAGGGCTGTGTACTGTGGTCTAGTACCTACCGTACCCAGGTCAGGCTGCCAGCTGTAGTGGGGTGAAAGACTGAAGTGCTGGAGGGCCCCCAAAATACCTGAAAGCCTAGGGGCCCGACCATGGGTTAATACGGCTCTGGGCAGGAACCTGCTCTTTCTCTTCTTCCCTCCCCCGTGAGGGGGTGGGGCTGTGGGCAGTTGGGGCCCCCTCAAGCACAAGGCCTGGGGCGGCTGTCCCTGTTGCCCATTGGCTAAGACCATCCCTGATTGTTTCAAATACTGTGATTATTTGGTTCTACTGATGGTTTTTTATAGTCTCAGAAGCAACCTAGGATTTTTAGGATGGCTGAGTAATTTGAAAGAAATTATGTACTCATCAATCTTTTGCTCTCGTTGGGGTCTATCATAGTCACTGGGTCACTGCTCTTTGAGGGGTTACTGATGCCTGCATGGTTGACAGCCTTCACTCGAAACTGGTAAGTCTTTCCTTCAGTGAGGCCCACAACGGGGGACCGGCAAATTTTCACGGGCTTTTCATTGCATGGCACCCATTCGTCTGTGCCCATCTCACATCTGGAAAAAGAAAAAAATCAGCTCAGCTTTGACGCCACATGATCTGGAGAGACAAGGAATAAGGGCTCTGTGATTTCCAACTACAGACCTCTCAATATAATAGCCAAGGACTGGGCTTCCGCCATTATGACTGGGGGTGATCCAGGAAAGAATGAGACTGTTTCTGTTCACATTGTGGCACTGTACATTGAGGGGTGATCCAGGAGCTCTGGCTGTAGCCGCCGCAGCATCTAAAGCAACAAAGGAAATGCCATCTTTACTGTGTTTTGTCTAGACAAGGAGTGGTCAACGGGCAAGTCCGGCGGGCCCTCAGAGCAATTTTACTGGATGTCAAATCAAACGTTTAAACAAGGCACACGAAAAGGTTTTTGGACTTTGTATCAATGCGCCTGTGCTCTGAGAGAGTGTTGTTCTTGTTGCTGCACAGCACTGTGAAAAATCTGGGTATATTAGCTATATGATTTCTGCTATTTATTATTATTAGTTATATGATTTCTGCTATTTATTATTATTAGTTATATGATTTCTGCTATTTATTATTATTAGTTATATGATTTCTGCTATTTATTAACAGCGTCTGTTTTAGAACAGCAAAATACCATGTCTGGAGTCAGCTACAGGAGTAGCTACACAATGTGCCCCACATGTGTTGGGTCATGGGTGCGCAGCTAAATTCACAGCCAGACATACTTCATGGGAACTCACCTTAAAAAGTGCTCGTTTGCTTGATGCTGCAAGGGGGGGGAGTAGGAGTTTCTGGTTTCCCTCCTACCCTACTTTTGCCACTGAAAAGGGCAGGGGGGTCTTTGCCCTTTTTCTCTGGTTCCACATGCCCCGAGGGACTCATGGAACAAGAGAAAAGAAGTGAAAAGCCCCCCCCATATAATTTGTAGAAGAACAGAAGTATGTGAGTCTTCTTGATCACCTCAACCATTCTACAAGGTGGGGGGCCACAACAGAGAATACACATATATGGGTAGATTGAGGTGGGTTGTTGTTGATCTTGCCCACTTGTAGGGTGGCACCCACAGAAGTCTCTTTTCAGATAATTGAAGCTGTTATGGTGGACCATAAGGGGAGAGGAGGTCCTGCAGATATGAAGGTCCAAGGCCATGGAGGGCTCTGTATATGATAGCCTGTTCAATGTGGTGGAGGTACAATGCTTTGATGTTAGCCATCCATTGTTGGTCAGGGATAGGACAGGTTGAGGGTGTTTTAAGTAGGGTAATCTTGTTAGATATCAGAAGCCTAAGGAAATCCACAGTTGCTGCTCAGAGGTAGGCCATGGCTAACTCTACAGGGTCTAGTCACAAGGATGGGCACAGTAATAAGACCCCCCCCTTTTTCCGCTAACCCTACAGGGTCACCATAATTTGGCTGCAACTTGATGGCAAAAGGAGGGGGGTATGATTGCAACATGTGTAACCCACTTTGAACCTCTGGGATGAACAAACATCAAGTCAAATCAATCAATCAGTCAAGCGAGCAAAAATATAAACACTGCTACCACCAAACAGATAACTGAAACATCCAGTACTTACCCCGGACAAACACATAAGCTCTCTGCTCACTATATCCATCTTGCGTTGGGATGCGGACACTGTAAAATCCCTCATCTTCTTTGTAAGCACAAGATACTGTTAGAGAGGCATCCCGGTCTCCACCTTTTATTTGCTGGCGATCGTGATCTTTTAGCAACTCACCTGAAGTACAAAACGAAAGGTTATATGGGGTTTGTCTGGAGGGTAGCTTCTCTCTGGAGTTGAAATTTGAGCACCAGTTATGGATTTGACAGTTTGAACGCTGGAGCATTTTCAGTTTTTCCTTTCGCCATTCAGCTTTGAGGGATACTTCTAACCAGGGGTCTTGTTGTAGAAAAAGAGCTGCCGGAGCTCATTAGCATAACTCATTAGCATAACTTATTTGCATATGCCACGCCCCCTGACATCACCGGAAGTGACAGAAGGCCACACCCCCTGACATCACCGGAAGTGTGTCAGAAGGCCCGGCTACTTACCCTCCTGCTTCATCCTCATTCCCAAACGGAATGAGGATCGAAGCAGAGGGCGGGGTAAAGAAGGGGCGGGGCTTGACAGCTTTGCACTTTTTGTCCTTAATAGACTACATGAACATCCATCTGCTCAAAAGGAGAAGCCTTTGCCTTTTTAGCAAAATATCCAGTGGCTTTAAAACTGTGTGTGATTGGTAGTAAGCATGTTGTTCATTATGAGGAACTGCACAGGGACAGTCCAATAGGTGCCCCTGACACCAGCAGTACAAATGTCAGTTCACGGGTGCCAGTTATTATTATTAATAATAATAATTAAATTTCTGAATCGCCCAATCCCTGCTACCACAGGGCTCAGGGCAATGTACAACAATCGATAAAAACATGTATTAGGATTTTGGGAGCATCAAACCAATAATCAAAGCAGAACAGTCACTTTTCCTTGGATGGGATGTCAACCTTGTGTGTGTCTGTATACAATGCAGATGAGCGCTGGATTTTTCTCCATGAAAATCACCAGCTCCAAATATAGCATATCAGGGAGAAGGGTTCAGCCTAGCTATCCTAGCCAACAGGCTACTTTTCTAAAAGCAAGGAAGTTTTTGTTTCTGTTGGAAAGGAGTCAGGCCCACAGACACGGCCACCCTGCCACAATCTGCCACAGTACAGTCCAAGAAAAACTTTGCCACTTGATGCTGCTGATTATATAAATCGGTTTTTAGCAAGGATCTCCTAAGTTGTTCTGAAACCCTAGAAAACTAAATTGGCAGCAGCGATTATGCAACAGACAATAATAACCAGGTGTGTATCCTGGACAAGCAGAGGATGACCAAGGAGCATCTGTATCTCTGAAAAGGTACTCTCTGTCTAGAGCTTGTAAGGGCCAATGGCACTAAATAAGTGCTAGGGGCTTTTTTGTTGTTATAAATACAGACCATCTCTGAACCAAAGGATGTCTCGTTGATGCTCCTGCAAGTCAGAAGTGAAAGAACAGAAGAGAGTGAAGGGTTCCTTCTCTCTGGTGAAGACAGGCTTCAAGGTGCTGGCAAAGTCAGCATCTTGGCGCATGAGTGTCCCTGAGAAGCAAGATGAAGTTCGGTAAAGACACAGACATAACAGATTATTTATTATCAGTTTCCCCCCAGTAATAATAATACCAGTAGTAACACATGAATAAAACAGCTATTCAACAATAAATAAAGAACAAGTAATAATAATAACTATTGGAGTTTCATAGATAGGTACTGTCATGATCTGTGCAGGACTGGGAGCAAGGCCTAGTGCGGTCTGGTTCCAGGAGAGACCTGCATGGCAGTGGAAAGCAGACATAGCCTACAATCCCCACAATGCTTAGAGACAGTTGTAACCAATCAGTGTCCAGGGATTGTATGAAGAGACTGTGAAAAACTGTGTGTGCTGTAAAAACTGTGTTCTTTTTCTCTTCTGCGGTCTTGCCTCACACAGAGTAAAACTGAGGGGACTGGTCTGAGAGAAAGATCCCTCACTTGGGACAGAGTGAGTACAGGAAGGAGGCCTGGTATAAGAGGGCTGTGGGCCTTGAAGTAGTAACCAGTTAAGTGAACTAGGTAGTCACGCTGGATTTGTTTATTTTGCCTTTAAACACTGTTATGTATTTTAAAGCACCTTGTCTGGTTTTCCTTGCTCCAGTACTGTGTTAATAAACCATTTGTTTAACTGTTCTCTGCCTGGTCATCATGCCTATGTCCTCGGCTTAAAAGGGGGCATTTTGGATGGTATTAGGAGGGTACTCTGGGCCTTCTCAAGGGACCCGAAGTCCAGAGTGGTGGCAGCTGAAGGTGGCGACCCCACGGGGTCATGACAGGCACAAATAGATTAGTGAGCATTTATGTGGCAACATCATATAGAATTTGAGTTATCAATGAAATGGTTAAAATACATAAGATATTACTTTGATGGAATGGAGTCTCACAAGATACCCATTCAGTCGTATCTATGTCATTTTATTTATTTAAAAATGTATTCCCCCTTCCTTCTCCGTTCAAATCACTATACTTAATCAGAGCAATACAAATTTAATAAGAACAAAACCCTGACAAAACGGCCCATAAAATCTTTCATTACTAGTGCCCGGTGCCTACAAATAAGGCCTTAGAACACACAGTCTAAAACACCCTTCAAGAAAAGTACAGTCTTAGAGGCCTTACAAAAGCCTGCCACTGATAGTGCCTTCCCCACATCAATTCGGGCAAACTGTCCCATAATACTGGTGCCACCACCCAAAAGGCATGGGAGCTCTCCAAGGAGTTGCAAATCGGGCAGAGAGAGGCAGGGGCAGACTGGAATGTTAAAACAGTTGTGGAGGAAGCTTAGTCAAGTAATCTCTGTGGTGCCAGTAGAAATACTGCTTGGCTCAGACCCAGGCTGTGGCAACAGTGACAATCAATGCTGGATCACCCAAAGGGCACTGTCTGTTGACATACCCCAGATCCAAGCCAAGTGGTTCCTGTGGTATTTTCAGCACTGCAGAGGTCAGTGGGCTCAGCTGGCCCTGGCAGCCACTGGGTGAGCTACAACCATTGTTATCATCACTGTGGCCATGGTCTAAGCATCCTGCTCCTGGTCCAGCAGTGGTCCCCCTTGGTACAGACCTACCAAGAACTTTCCAGGGAAGAAAGGGCCAATCGACACCTAGACAAAAGGCCCACCAAGAGAGTGCTGAAAGCAGCTGAACTGCTGCAAGGGGTAATGTTGCCAACTTCCAGGTGGGGTCTGAAGTTCTCCTGGAGTTCAATCAATCAATCAACCTTTATTGGCATATTTTCTACTGGAGTTATGACTGATCTCCAGACTACAGATCTCCCTGGAGAAAATGGGCTGCTTTGAAGGGTTGACTCTATGGCATTGTACTCCACTGCGGTCCCTCTCCTCCACAAACCCCTCCCCAACCCAGACCTCACTCCCAAATCTCCAGGAATTTCCCAACCTGGGGTTAACAACCCTAGTGAGGTTTCATATGTGGAGCAGAGCATTCTCAGGATGTTCAAGTGTGGTGGAGGTGGCCATCCTATGTGGCTTGTCTCCAGCTTCTGGTAATCAGAAGTACCGGTATATTGTTTGGGATTTCTTTGGAAGTCTCTCTCTCTCTCTCTCAGGTGTAGAACAGACACAGTCCTGCTTCTCATTCACCCGTCCAGGCACACTCACAAAATTTTATAAAATAAACAGGCTAGCTTGGTAATATAAACTGAAGTGCCAGGCTTAACTAAATAAACAAATTACCTCACATATTCAATCACAAGTGTGTACTTACTTTTATATATCTCTGAGTCAAATCCTGATTTCTTCCCATAATATTCTATGAAACAGAATAAAGTGGTGAGTCAGATATATACAGAGTTGTATTTCAGTTCTGAGAGTCTTTATAATAATCTCAGGAGCCATATGACACACCATAGCTGGCCAGTGAATCCCAGGATATGATGAAACTGATGCAAAATCAGCATAACTTTCACTTTGCAAAAAGGACATCAGCTAATGTTTAAAGGCTTAAAATTAATGTTGATATATAACAGTGTCTGAGGATGCACTCTGCTTTTATTGTGGGGGGAAAATCATAGGGATGAGTTACAGATGTGCTCATCACTTAGGTGTTTTCCACACAGAGACAGGCTTGTGTGGTTTCCACATTGCTGTTGCAGTTGCAGATTCAGTGCAGCACCAATGGAGATTCCACATGGTAGGTTTCCCCATATTTTACCTGCCTCAGTCCCCTGCAGTGACCTTACCCCCATAACAGCAGGGGCTTTTCAGGGGTTTTCTTAAAATCAGGAATTGACATATCATTATAACATAATGTTATAACAATGTATCTATCAGGTTCTCTGTTTGGTGTAGTGGTTAAGTGTGCTTAAGTGGTTAAGCCAGTTTGGTGTAGTGGTTAAGTGTGCAGACTCTAATCTGGGAGAACCGGGTTTGATTCCCCATTCCTCCACTTGCACCTGGCTGGATGACCTTGGGCAAGCCATAGTTCTGATAAGAGCTGTTCTTGAAAAAGAGCAGTTTCTGTCAGAGCTCTCTCAGCTCCACCTACCTCACAGGGTGTCTGTTGTGGGGAGGGGAAGGGAAAGGAGTTTGTAAGCCGCTCTGAGACACCTTTGGGTAGTGAAGGGCGGGGTATAAATCCAATCTCTTCTCTTCTTCTCTTCTCTGAATTCTCAGCTTTCATTAAAAAGTAAGTCTCTAGCCCTTTTCCTCATGGAGATATAAAGGGAAAGGCATGTGGGAATTGAGGACATAAATTGTGGCCGTTACACAGAACACAAGGTAGGGACCCCAGATCCAACCTGCATACTATGTAATGTGGAAATTGGACCTACTAGAAAGTTAACCATGATCAGCAAAATACAAAAAAAAGGTTCTTTGATGACACTGTTGTCCTTCCCTGCTGTACAAAATGGAGTCTGTCTCAACCCATAATCAGATAAGGAAATGGCTCAGGAGAGAGTAGCTGAGCAAGCAGAGAGGACATCCTTGGGCATGACTTCAGATGTTTCATAAAGTGTGGAACAAGGTACTTTGAATAAACCTTTGTTGGTCTTAGAGGTGCCGCTGGACTCAAACTTTGTTATACTGCTTCAGACCCACATGGCTATCCACCTGGATCTATCATAAACTGTGGTCAGACTTTTAACCTCTATCAGGCCCTGCTTTTTATTCAACAACAAAATGCAATTGAAAACCTCAAGGGATTACAGGGATTCACAGAGGAATGCTGGTGGCAGAACTAACACGGAAATGGTAAACAAGTTGATCATGACTTTTTTGTTGGTTCAGATTACTAATTTCTTTTGTTACTGTGAGGCTTCACATCAGGTGAATGTCATTTGGCCCTCAGGGACACCCTTTGTATTTAGTTATGGGGAATTTCTTTATGTTTCCCACATGAACATTCTGCAGTAAGGAAGTTATAATGAAACATAGCATTGCAGGAAGAAAAGGAAGGTGAATCCCCCAGACTTACTCCTGACGAGTACTGTCGCAAAGGAGTAGGCCTCACCATATGGATTTTTCACAACCACGCTGTATTCAGCAGAATCGTCCAAGGAGCATCTGGGGAAAGAACAACAGTTGCAAACCCTTGACATTAAGCTGGCCCCAAGAGACCCCTTTTTGCCTCTGTAGACTGAATCAAGCCCTTCCTTGTGGCTAAGACGCTGAACTGCAGGCTGTGGAAGGTCGGTAGTTCAGCAGTTCGAGACCCAAGTGTGCCGCATGACGGAGTGAGCTCCCATCTCTAGTTCCAGCTCCTGCCAACCTAGCAGTTCGAAAGCAAGAAATTGCAAGTAGATAAATAGGTACCACTTCGGTGGGAAGGTAACAGCGTTCCATGCACCTTGGTGTTTAGTCATGCCGGCCACATGACCACAGAAACATCTTAGGACAGCGCTGGCTCTTCGGCTTTGAAACGGAGATGAGCACCGCAACCCTAGAGTCGGATTCGACTGGCTTTCGAGCAAGGGAACCTTTACCTTTACCTAGACTGAATCAAGCCCTTCCTTGTGGCTAAAAATTAAATGGTATTTCAAGTTAATGCATGACTTGCAGCCTTTCTTGCCCTCTTGGCTGTGTACATCTCTCTGGCTAATTCTGTCTCACACAGTGGGGTGGGGGGAGGACTAATCACAAAACCTTGGACAGCTCCACAAAATGTTGGGAGGTTCCAAGCCAAGAGTCTTCCTAGTGATGGAGGCAGCTCTTTGCCAAACGGGTGCTCCTTGCAGGTGCCTCCTGGGATCTTCTGAAGGAACATCCTACTTCAATGACGAGTAAAGGCCAGAACTAGCTCTCTGCTAAGGGGGAGAAGCAAGGGGGCACCAAAGACCACACTGGTGGAGGCCCCCTTGGACATCACTGTGCTACAAATTGCCATCCAGATTTATTGGCCCATCATTCCCAAACCAGGAGTTTACTTAGAAAAACATATTAGGAGAAAGAGGATCTGAAGATATAATAACCACCTGTTCCTTAGTGGTATGCAAATGGACTCTGGCTGTGGTTATTCATGGATCAGGTAAGGCGTTCCACAAAAGGTGCTTTTGTTGTTGTTCCGTCGCACAGTCGAGTCTGACTCTTCATGACCCCATGGATCACATCACACCAGGACCTCCTGTCTTCCACCATCTTCTGGAGTTTGCTCAATTTTATGTTCCTTGCATTGATAACAAATCATCTCATCCTTTGCCGTCCCCTTCTTATTTTACCTTCAATCTTTTCTTCTCCAGTGAGTGCTCCCTGGTCATTTGGTGGCCAAAGTATTTGAGCTTCAGCTTCAGTATCTGGCCTTCCAGGGAACAGCCAGGGTTGATATCTTTTAGGATGGACTGATTTGATCTCCTTGCAGTCCAAGGGACTCTCAAGAGTCTTCTCCAGCACCATAATTCAAAAGCATTTATTCTTCAGCGCTCGGCCTTCCTTATGGTCCAACTCTTGCAGCCATATATTACTACTGGGAATACCATCGCTTTGACCATATGGTCTTTTGTTGGCAGGGTGATGGCTCGACTTTTTATTATGCTGTCTAGGTTTGCCATCACTTTCCTCCCAAGGAGCAGGCATCTTTTAATTTCATGGCTGCAGTTACCATCTGCACTGATCTTGGATCACAGGAACGTGAATTCTGTCACTGCTTCCATGACTTCCCCTTCTATTTGCCAAGGAGTGATGGGGCCAGATGCCATGATTGTAGTTTTTTGGATGTTGAGTTTCAAGCCAACTTTTGGACTCTTCTCTTTCATCCTTAACAAGAGGCTCTTTAGGTCCTCTTCACTTTCTGCCATTAGAGTGGTATCGTCTGCATATCTGAAGTTGTTGATGTTGTTCCCAGCAGTCTTAATTCCGGCTTGTGTTTCATCCAGGCCGGCATTTCACATTATGTACTCTGCACAGAGGTCGATTTGGGGGGGATCGCGGGGGATCACAGTTCCCCCGGGTGAGGTGCGGGGGGCAGGGCACACGACGAAGCCCCGCCCCCTGCTTCCGGCCGCCCCACTTCTGGCCCTCATTCAGTCAGGAGGAGGCAGGAGAAGAGGGAGGGTAAGTTGCTTCCTCCCCGCCTCTCCCCACCCCTGCCTGCCTGGGGCCAGGGAGGGCCTTGGCGGGGCTTCCTTGCACTCCCGCCGGCCTTGCAGGTCCACCGCCGGGCCCCTGATGTCAGAGGGTGTGGCATATGCTAATGAGTTATGCTAATGAGTTCCCCTAGATCTTTTTCCATGTAACGACCCCTGACTCTGCATATAAATTAAATAAGATGGGTGACAATATACATCCTTGTCGTACTCCTTTTCCTATGCTAAACCAATCAGTTGTTCCATATCCGGTTCTGACTGTCACTTCTTGACCCTTATACAGGTTTCTCAGGAGACATGTGAGGTGGTCTGGTACTCCCATCTCTTTAAGGATTTGCCATAGTCTGTTGTGATCCACACAATCAAAGACTTTAGCATAGTCAGTGAAGCAGAAGTAGATGTTTTTCTGGTACTCCCTTGCTTTCTCCATAATCCAGCGAATGTTGGCAATTTGATCTCTAGTTCCTGTACCCCTTCGAAACCCAGCTTATACTTCTGGCAGTTCTCTATCCACATACTGCTGAAGCCTAACTTGTAGGATCCTGAGCATGACCTTGCTAGCGCGTGAAATGAGTGCAATTGTGCGAAAGTTTGAACATTCCTTGGCATTTCCCTTCTTTGGGATTGGAATGTAAACTGACCTTTTCCAATCCTGTGGCCACTGTTGCATTTTACAAATTTGCTGGCATATTGAGTGCAGCACTTTAACAGCATCATCTTTTAAGACTTTGAATAGCTCAGCTGGGATACCATCACCTCTGCTAGCTTTGTTGTTAGTAATGCTTTCTAAGGCCCATTTGACTTCGCACTCCAGGATGTCTGGCTCAAGTGCTAGATTCCTTTAATATAAACAGTCCAAAGGAATTAACAGGAGTCCACAATGGGGGAGTCCATGAATAAAGGTCCCCCCTTTCTGCATTGCTCATTCTATATATCCTACCTGCCACCTTTACTTGTCCCACAATCATGAGATATACTAGAACAGAAAGTCACAGCTCAAAACATCAAGCCTATAGGACAACAGAAGCTGTAACCAAGCGCTACACACAAAAGCTTGAAATTGGTATAACAGTATATTCTTACAACAAGATAACTAGAACGTGTATAAAGTGCAAAAACGGGGTCCATATGCAATCAAAATAGTTATTGACCAAATTCTCTGGACTGTCTATTCGTTTCGTAAGGACTTCATCCAAACGGGACCATGTTAACCTTATAATATTACAAAAATATATATAAGAAAGATGTGCAATGTACCGTGTTTCCCCGAAAATAAGACACTGTCTTATATTTATTTTTTCTCAAGAAGACACACTAGGGCTTATACCACAAATGCATAGAAATCCTGCTAGGGTTTATTTTTGGGGTAGGTCTTATTTTCGGGGAAACAGGGTACCTACAATATAATTACAAATACAGTAACCTTATACAGACTTAATACGTGCCATCCCAGAGGATTAAATCTTTCTTTAGACTCGTCTTGTTTTTCTTAAGCATTTTTAACATACATAGTGTTTGATATTTTTTAAAAAATTCTTTTTTATTTTTTTATTAGTACGGTCATTGACCATTACATAAAAGAACTGGAAAAAAATCAGCCAGTAAAACATTAAAATGCATACAAACATTAAAATGTTAGGAGTAAGGATAAAATATTGTTAGATAATTAAAATCTCTATTTAAGTACAATATTCACTATCTAACTGCTAATAGCTTGTCTCCGGATTTTGATTGCCTGCATGGCAAATTTTGCCATGTTTAAAGTAGTTTCCTGCTCTTTGTCAGCCAGATATTCAGAAATGTTGTATTTGATGAGTAGTTGTGTGTTTGTTGATATGTCTTTAACTACTGTCAGCCTTCAGGCGTCAACTAAATATAAGAGTAGGAAGTGGAGACACAGGCTAAGGTTTTGAGCATCTCTATCCAGATTGCCCATTGAGAATACACTATGTATTAACAGGATAAGTAAGGGTGAGTGTTTTACAAATGTATAAAAATACCATAAAGATATGAAATGTAATTTTTTAGATTGTATTCGCTTTTTGTAATAATTATATTTATTTATTTGTTGTAGAAATTGTTTGTGAGATAACAAGAACATTGTTAATTCATTCAATGACGAATAAGAAACAAGTGACACAATATTGTATGTATTACAATTTTTTATTGTATTTGTAATTATATTGTAGGTACATTGCACATCTTTCTTATATATATTTTTGTAATATTATAAGGTTAACATGGTCCCGTTCGGATGAAGTCCTTACGAAACGAATAGATAGTCCAGAGAACTTCGTCAACAACTATTTTGATTGCATATGGACCCCCTTTTTGCACTTTATACACGTTCTAGTTATCTTGTAGTAAGAATATACTGTTATACCAATTTCAAGCTTTTGTGTATAGCGCTTGATTACAGCTTTCTGTTGTCCTATAGCCTCCACAATCATGACAGACAGGTAGGCTGTGGCTGAAGGCCATACTAGATGTGCTTGTTGTGGGTTCCCCGCAGGAACATAGCTGCTGCAGGGAATGGGTTTTAAAAAGCAAAAGAAGACCCAAATGGGCTCAGAATGCCACTGTGGCATTCCCACACCATTTCCCCACACTGCAACAGGCTTGGGGAGGAGTTAATTCCCTGTTTTTGCTGTTCCACAGGCATAGGATACTCCATGTGGAGCAAGAAAAACGAGGAAATTACTCCCCTCCCAGAGCTGATTCCACATGGGAAAATGGTTGAGGGGAGGCAGGATCCTGTTGTCTCCTGAAGCGGCATTCCAAGCCCCAAAGGCTCTACTTTATTTTTTAATAGCCATTCCCTTCAGCTGCTCTGTAGCTGTGGGAAATCCAGACCCAACTCTTTAAAAACCCGACCGTCTGGTTTTGTATGCAGAAGGTTCAATCCCTGATTCCCCAGCAGCTCTTGTTAAAAAGGATCAGGAAAGACTTCTACCTTGGACCCTGCAACCTGCTGTCAGGTAGACAAGACAGACTTTGGTAGACCAATGGGCTGACCCGGTAATGGGAAGCTTTGTGTATTTTCGTGTGTGTGTGTGTGTGTGTGTGTTCATGAAGTCCTTTCAGAATGGTTCCACACATCAACAAAGAGACGCTAGTTGAGGTGCTTTCTTGGTGCCCCAGATGCTGAAAGTGTGCAGCTCTCCAATTTCTTTTGAAAAAGAGGTTACAATTGTTGATTCCCCCAGCTGTTTATCAAAGCCATTACCTGCTGATGTCCAGTGTGAGCATTCCAAACTCACTCTTCATTCTGTATTTCCCTGCAGGAGCTAGACGGGGGTCAATACGAACTCCATTTTTATACCTTGAAAGGGGCACATTGAAAGACAGACATGAACAGAGCATCTTCCTGAACTGTTCCATTATTGTATAGCCCCAATACCTTTATAGGTAAACATTTTAAACTTTAAATTTTGGTTTCTATTTATTTTAATCAAAAAATGCATTTATTCGGGTAAAAGGGCTAAAAGAATGACTCAGTTCATAAGCAATATAGCCAGAGGTCATTTCGGGGGGAATCGTGGGGGATCGTAGTTCCCCCGAGTGAAATACGGGGGGGGGGCAGGGCACATGATGAAGCCCCGCCCCCTGCTTCCGGCTGCCTCGCTTCCGGCCCTCATTCAGCCAGGAGGAGGCAGGAGAAGAGGGAGGATAAGTTGCTTCCTCCCTGCCTCTCCCCACCCCTGCCTGCCTGGGGCCAGGGAGGGCCTTGGCGGGGCTTCCTCGCAAAAAAGTGGCCTTATGACACACTTCCGGTGATGTCAGGGGGTGTGGCCTTATGACACACTTCTGGTGGTGTCAGGGGGTGTGGCATATGCTAATGAGTTATGCTAATGAGTTCCCCTAGCTCTTTTTCTACGAAACGACCCCTGAGTATAGCGATGAAAGACTCTGGATTTTTAAAGAAAAAGCTTGGAGGATCTCCTATCTTGGGTTTTTAGTTAGTAGTGGGTTCTTTGCTTTCTCCCGTACATGTAGTTCCCCTTCCCTCTTTTTCTGTTAGTTATTTGTAGTGTATTAAAAAAACCAATAAAAAATTCCCCTCTGGGGGAAACAAACAAACAAACAAAAGATGCATTTATTCATTTATTTGCAAACTCATTCCCCCCCGCCCTTGCCCCATAAATGGAGAGTTCTGCACACTCCTAAGACCCAAAGAACTTCTAGAATACATCTGATTGAAATTCCTCATGAATTTTGTAAAGAATTGATTGGCCCTGAACATGGATCTCTGGACTGGGTTGGTTATATTTGCTTCCTCCTCCATGGAACACTTTAAGAGAAGATGGCTTTTTCAAAAAAGCCAGACAAATCACACATTTCACTGGATTTAGGTCATACATTTTAGAAGACACCCCCCACCACCACCTGTGAACGATTGATTATTCCGGCAAAGATAAATAGTTGCCTTCAGGGCTTTCTTTTGTAGAAAAAGCCCAGCAGGAACTCATTAGCATAATAGGCCATACCCAACAGCAGGAACTCATTAGCATATTAGGCCACAACCTGACAGCACAGCTCATTTGCATGTTAGGCTGCACCCCCATGTTACCAGAAGTGTGGTCATCCAGCCACACCCACCTATTGCTTCTTATTCTCTTTACCTTGTTTGTTGTCAAAACCCAGGGCTTTTTGCATGTTAGGCCACATACCCCTTAATTGTAGCCAATCCTAATGAGTTTCTGCTGTTGAGTGTGGCCTATTATGCTAATAAGTTCCTGCTGGGCGTGGCCAACTTGGGAGCCAGCCGGAACTCCGTTCCTGTGCGTTCCTGCCCAAAAATAGCCGTGGTTGCCTTCAGTTTCAAATATTGACTACAGTAGTGAGTGTTATATGGTTGAATGCCCAACCTAAAAGGAGCAAACCTGCACATAGGAACGACACTAGCCAGAAGCCTGCTCCTTTTCTATGTTCATGGACTATTTATCAGCCTCAGTATTCAAACATGCCACCTTCCCACTTGCAGCCTGAACTATTACCATCTCTTCTTAATTCTGTTCAACTGGCCTCTTGAGGCCAGCTATGCAGAGGTCCCAGAACTGGGAAGGCTTTCCTTGCTGCCCACTTACCAGGTCACTTCTGGAAGAGGAGAGGCCAGAACTGTACACTCCAGTTTGACGCTCATTCGTTCCCAGACAGCATGAGCTCGAAGAGGGATCCAGAACATGGGCGCTCTGCAGGACAGCAGCTCCATGACCTCTTTCTCACGCTGTGCCTTCGCTTCCGCCTAGGACAAGGATCACGGACAGTTTTAAAACTTTTTATCTATCTGTTCTATAAATACATCTGCTGGACTGGAATAAACAGGTCTAACACCCTTCTGTTTCGTGCTGCAGAATAAGCTGGCTACATTTTTTGGCATCTGAAGCCAAGAGTGGCTCAGAGGCCTTTGAAGAGAACTCATGGAGCAGCTTGCCTCAGGTACTTAAAGTAACCCATGGGCCCCTGTTAGGGTTCCCAAGTACTTACCGCGATCCGGCGGGGGAAACATGCTCTCCGGCCGGACCATTCCTCCTTGTAACACAGCATGCCGTCGCCAGGAAGTGACGCTGGTGACGCTCTGGCAATGGGGCTGAAAACTCAATGGTACCATCGCGTTTCGAGCCCCATTGCCAGAGCGTCACCCAGCATCACTTCCTGGCGACGGCATGGTGCGACACATCTGTTGTCCCTGCGGGAATGATCCTGCGAAGACATCTGTGTCCCCCGCCGAATCACGGTAAGTACTTGGGAAGCCTGGGCCCTGTTGATTGCATGATGACATTTGTTTTTGATTTTCCCTATGCATGGAGTATGGGATTTATTTCAGGGATTACAAAGGGGGACCTAACATTTTAACAGGATTGTTTTGCTTGCTGTATAGCAGTTTTCATTTATGGTATTGTACATGTTGTTGGCACAGTGTAGATATGCAGTAAAGCGGAGCACAAGCTGTTTAACGAATAAAGTCAGTTTATTAAGAAGGGAATGTCAGACTCTGTACTTCGTTTGCCATGTTGATTTCTGTTCTCTGTGATTCTTTCGCTTAGAGCTGGAAGAGGGGGAGTGAATGGGGGAAAGTATGTGTGGGAACGAGCTTTGCTAGACACCTGTAACAGATTCCAAGTGGCCTCCCAAGGAGGGAAGACAAGTGACCAATGCTCCCTCTAAGTTGTTGAGTTCTGTGAGCAAAAATTCTACTTTGTGAGCTACTGGCATTAAAGTAGTGAGCAAGCGATTGGGATACTGCATCAATTAGTTTGCTCTGGAGCCGTCCTTCCTGAGCCAAGACAAAAATGTGTGAGCCGGAGGCTAAAAAACCGTGAACTGACTCACACTAACTCAGCTTAGAGGGAATATTGCAAGTGAAGCCTTTGCTGCCAGGAATGCTGTCATAGGTACATTTTGTAGTTCGCAGGTGGGGGGGGGGAGGTAAACTGTGCTTTGGCTTGGGATGAATGACCAGTGTGACTGGATCTTGGCATGGGGGGGTAGTTTGAAGTGGGTATAATAGTGGGCTTGGTGCTAATGCTCACCAGTTCTTACACCTGTATCGACTGCATATCTCAATAAACAAATCTTACACTTGAAGAGAGTTGTTGGGAGTGAGTACGCACAGGGGTCTGACAGGGAACAAACTTTGTAAGAAAGAGGAGAGAAAAAGAGAAGTCTAACTGTCTAACTAGCTAGGAGGAGGTCAGTAACTCAACAGGAGCGGGAAAAATCCTAATTGAGCAAATCAGAAGACAGGAAGGAGACTATTTGAAAATAGTAGGAAGTCCCTAATCTCACTATGACAACTATTTGTCTCCTCTGCTGCCCCCTGCAGGATGTTCTTGTCATCCTCTTTATGTATGCACAATATACGTTACATATTCCAGCATGTTACTAACTTTCTGCAACAGAAACTGATGGGTATTTGCTGTTTGTTTTTAGAATTGCAGCCTATGTTCATCAATGAGTCAAATAGAATATTCGTTGTACTTAAGAGCTGGATGCCTTCATTGATACACAGCGGAGGGGCTGTGGCTCAGTGGCAGAACATCTAGTTAATTAAAAGGATCAGGTCATAGGTGATGATAAAGATCTCTGCCTGAGATCCAGGCAGAGTAGACAACACTGACCTTGATAGACCAAAGCTCTGACTCAGTAGAAGGTAAATACAAGGTATGCAAATGAAGTAACATTTCTGTATTTCTGACATCAGCTTGGACCCCACAGATGAAGAGATATCCTGTCAGGAAATGTGACTTTCTTGCCCAGGAATTGTGGGGTAGAGGAAGTTAAAGGTCTGGAGTGGGAGTGGGAATCAGTGACACCCCCTCTCCATAGAAATCCTCTGCTGGATCCAGCCTAGAATGATCCATGCCCTTCCTGGCTCATTAAAGCGGGCTACGAGGGTTTTTGAGATGCCTTAATTGAGATTATCAACGTCCCTTGTTGAGGGGCTGTTCCCGGGGGCACTCAAGGAAGCGATGGTCCACCCTCTCTTGAAAAAACCAACCCTGGATCTGGCTGAATTGGCCAACTATCGGCTGGTTTCCAATTTGCCCTATCTGGGCAAATTAATAGAGAGGGTGGTGGCGATACAGCTACAGGGCTTTCTGGATGACGCTTCTATCCTTGATCCATTCCAGTCCAGTTTCCGCCCGGGATACGGGACGGAGACAGTGCTGGTTGCCTTTACTGACAACCCCCAGAGACATCTGGATTGGGGCGGTTCGGCAGCACTGTTCTTGTTAGATCGGTCGGCTGCATTCGATACAGTCGACCATCAGTTGCTGACCCACCGCCTCACCAATGTGGGGATACAGGGGCTTGCCTTGCAATGGCTTGCCTCTTTTCTCCAGGGTCGGGGACAAAGGGTGGTGCTGGGGGAACAGCAGTCCAGGAGACACCCGCTTGAGTGTGGTGTGGCTCAGGGGGCGGTGCTTTCCCCGATGTTGTTCAATATCTACATGCACCCCCTTACCCAGATTGCCCGGAGGTATGGGCTGGGGTGTCACCAGTACGCTGATGACACCCAGCTCTATCTGATGTTGGGTGGCCAGTCAGACTCCAGTCCAGAAGATCTGGACCAGGCATTGCAAGCCGTGGCTGGTTGGCTTAGACTGAGCTGGCTGAAACTAAACCTGGCGAAGATGGAGGTCCTGTGCCTGAGTCAGGGTGGGTTGAGGATTAGGGATACAAAGTCCCCCCGGGGGGCGGGGAAACCCCCACCCCAGAGGCCTGTTCCCCGGCACCGCCGGATTGGGCCCCGGGGGAACCCCTCCCCGACGTGCGCGTCACCCAGAAGTGACGCGGGCACGCTGGGCACGCTGGGGGCGGGGCCATGGCCATACAAGGGAAAACTCTATGGTTTTCCCTTGTATGGTCGTGTCCCCGCCCCCAGTGTGCCCGGCGTCATAACGTCACTTCCTGGTAACGTGTGTGCGGCGCGCGCGTGCTTTGCGCATGCTCAGGGATCCACCCAGGAGTCCCCCGCCACCAAGGTAAGTTCCACTTGGCAACTCTATTGGGGATGGGCATCCCACTCCCGACCTTTGACAGGGCGCCATTGGTGCCAGCACCAGTGGTTAGGAGTCTGGGAGTGCTCCTGGATCCCTCCTTAATAATGGAGGCCCAGGTGGCAGCCACTGCTAAGTTGGCCTTCTATCGTCTTTGGCTGATTTGGCAGTTGGCTCCCTTCCTCGATCACAATGACCTGGCTACAGTGATCCATGAGACGGTCACGTCAAGATTAGACTACTGTAATGCTCTCTATATGGGGCTGCCCTTGTCGCAAATCCGGAAGCTTCAGCTAGTGCAGAATGCCACGGCTAGGCTCTTGATGGGCTTCCCTAGATGGGAGCACATCTGGCCGGTGCTGAAGGCACTGCACTGGCTGCCAATAGCATACCGAGTTCGCTTCAAGGTGCTGGTACTTACCTTTAAAGCCCTATATGGCCAGGGTCTGACATACTTGAGGGACCGCCTTTCCCCATACATACCCCAGAGAGTTCTACAGTCGGGGTCACAACATCGTTTAACTACTCCAGGCCCTAAGGATGCCAGGCTCACTGTTACTAAGGCCAGGGCCTTTTCAGTGGCGGCTCCTCTCTGGTGGAATGAGCTCCTGGAGGAGATCAGGGCCCTGCGGGACCTTGTGCAGTTCTGCAGGGCCCGCAAGACAGAGCTCTCCCACCAGGCTTTCAACTAGGAGCCACCGTCCACCAACAACAACTATTATTACTATTAACATCTATGGTAGTAGGCCAGCCTTGCATGGAGATCAAGCTACAGCTTCGTAGGAGGCCAGAACACCACTGATTTGGGACTTCAGCATTACATTTTATAGCACATCACCTTTAACTTATTGAACGATCACAGCTGTGAGCACTTTAATTGTTTAATTGTTAATTGTTTACTGTATGTTGGTTTTAACTATTTTTAAATGTTTTATATGACCAGGCACATGGTGATGAAAGTGTAAGCCGCCCTGAGCCCATTCACGGGGGGGTGGGGGATATAAATATAATAAACAAACAAACAAAGAAAGAAATAGAATTTAGCTTCTTCCAATGTTTTTTCAGCTCATTCATGATCCCTTGACAAATTTGAGGACCAAACTTCATGAGATGCTACAGATCATCGACAGTGCTGGAGAAAGGAGAGGTTTAACACTGCACTGTTTCCATGATGGAAAATGCCCCCCTTCCAATCTATTTTAGGCTCTAGTAAGGAAAAAGACTGGTACCTATTCTTTTCACCCTTCTGAGGCTTAAAACAGTCCAGAGGGACCACTTCCTAACAACTACACACCACTGGCTCCTGCCTATGCAGACTTAGACAAGTGTTGCGGATTAGTAGATGACAAAAGCAGATTAATGTTTTGCCAGAATTCCCTTAACTCTTTGCTGGTATTCAAAGGGGTGGTTCAGGCATTTGTCAGTTGCTGTAAGCAAAGTGGCCTCAGCAGCCTGCCTGGGGGATGGAGCTATGTGGAGGAACATGTGCTTTCCCCTGGTTGCCGCACAGACACGAATCACGGCCGGGAAGTAGTCGCTATGCCCAGGAGTTCATTAAGTCAGAATTACTTCCTCCATGCAGTTGTGGCCCTGGGGCCGCATATGGAGCAATTTATGGACATATCTAGACTTGCTTAAAAGCAACTGGAAAATGGAGCCAGAGGTGCTGCTGGAATTCCATAATGGCTTGCTAAGACTCTGTCACAGTCCACCTCCAGCCTCTTTGTCCGCATAGATTTACCAAGTTTGCATTGCTATGTGAATGGAAAAGCCAACAATGAACAGCTGTATTTGACAAAGGGAACTTTTACTCTTGAAAGCTTATACCCCCAAAATCTTGTTGGTCTCAAAGGTGCTACTGGACTTTTATCTAGCTCTTCCACTTAACAGACAAAGCTGCTTCCTGTTGAGCCAGACCATTGGTCTAAAAAGGTCAACTTGATTGTCTACTCTGACCAGCAGCAGCACTCAAGGGTCTCAGGCAGAGATCTTTCACATCATTTCCTCCCTGACCCTTTTACCTGGAGGTGCTGATGAGTATTGAACCTGGGACATTCTACATGCAGCCAGCACTCTACTGCTAAGCCATGGCTCCTGTTGTTGAATCTGCAATCCAAACAAGCCATTTTTAACACCCAGAAATACCTCCTCTCACCTTCCTCCGAAGGGCCTTCTTGTCAGCCCTCACCCGCAAGAACCGGCAGTGTTGAATGACATCTTTCTCCAGCTTTTCCATCTCATTCCCAAACCGGACCCTCTTCTGGCCCCTCTTCTCCACCTCCAAAATGGCAGCCTCCTGCCTTATCTTGGATTCCCTGCAGATGGTAAAGCACAAAGCATAGCTCTATGCTTAACATGTCAATGGAGCTGGCCCAAAGATCTTTGGAGCCCTTGGCAGATTATTATTTTGGTGCCCCCTCCCATTCAACATACATACACATACATAATCAATGGGCTCAATCCAAGGGCTGCAACCTGAAGCGTGCTTACCTGGGAGGAATCCCATTGAACACGGCGAGTAGGCATGCGTAGGAGGAATGCTGCTTCAGTGCCCTCTTTGCCCTGAACCCTGGACCCCTGGGGCTGTCTATTGCCCTCTAGCTCTTTTGGCACCCCACTCCCAACTCTGGTATCCTAGACCAAAGGTGTCAAGCTAATTTGTTATGAGGTCCAGATGTGACTTTGTCGGGCTGGGCCATATGTGCCATGAAACGTAATGCCAGGTACCAGAGATATAAACTTTATATAGGACAGCAACTGGTAAGCTCTGAGTTGGTGTGTCCTCACTGCAAGGCCCCATGGGCTGGGAGGGGGTGCGGAGGAAAACCCACATGGGTGGACTGCAGAGTCAGCAGTGCTGGACAGACACTCCCAAGCCCCAACAGAGGATCATCTGCATACCCCTCCACATGTAAACGCTGATCCCTGAGGTCATCCAAGACAGCATCCCCAGAGCTTCAGACCCAGTGAAGAGGTATGAATGTGGCTGCAGTGGCTCCCAACTTGTCTAGGGCAGTGGCTCCCAACTTACCGATGAGGCTTACCTGAAGTGATGGGGTTCTGTTTGACTGCCGCAGACGAGGTTGTTCCGCCATACTAAAGCCACAATTGGAGTGGCTTCGCCCACCTCCACCCCCAAGCAGCCTCCTGTTCCCTCCCTTTCATCAGTTGCTTGCAGGCTGCATAACAACCCTGGATGGGCTGGTTCTGCCCCCCGGGCCTTATGTTTGACACCCCTGCCCTAGACAGTCCACAAGGTTTGCCTCTTAGGAGATACGCTGTCTCTGAACATCAGTACATGGGGTGCAACCTGGGTCTGAATAGTCTGCACCAACTCTCTTGATCTCTGTTGATTCCCTTGCCCTTTGATCTACACTTTTAAGCACCTCTAGGATATTTCTGTCTATGCAGGTCTTTGCATCTGTGTTATCCATATGTGCAGAACCCATCACAGGAAGACCTGCAGTGGAGACTCCCACTTGCTGCTAGACATGGATGCCAAAGTGCTCCATCACAGGTTGGGGTATTGGTGGAGGTGTCTGCCATTTGAAACAAGAGGCTGAAACCCTCCTTTGAAAGGAGATTTTGGAGGGCTCCCTTCTGCTCAGGGCTGTAGCTAGTGGTGGGGCTTCAGGGGCTCAGCCCCTTATCAAGTGGGGGAGGGAGCCCCAGAGCCAGCCAGTGAGTCAGCTCTTGGAGAGCTCTCAGAGAGCCGACTCATTGGCTCAGCTGGCTGGCGCAGATGCAGCGAGCCAGTGCATTGGCTCTCCCAGCCTATAGTAGCAAGTCCACAGGGGGTCAGTGTTGCTGAATATATCCATCCAGACACATGGGTATGAAATTTAGATGTCCCCAAAGCCAAGTAGTTAGAAATCTTTGGCTGAAACCATGGTTGCAGCTGCAGCTGGTACAAGCCCGCATGACACAGCTGTGCAGCTTTATGTTGAACTGAAGTCTCAATAAAAGAATATTAACTAGATCTACGTGTGGCCATACTGCACTTCTGCACCCAGTGAAGTCTCAGGCGGGGTGTCTCTTCTTTTGATTTGCATCTATTGGTTTTCTGTAGAAACAATCCCATTGGAGATTGTACACGTACACGTTAACGTTATTTCTTTAAATTTTCTGGGATGAATCTGTGATTCTTGTCAAGTCATGCTTCCAGATCTGCCTCCAGAAAATTTACATAGCCAACTAATTCTGGCAAAAAGTATGCAAATCTGCGATCATGAGTCACTGCACACACATGCTCATGCACACACATAGCTGGCAGGTTGCGTACAAATGGACAAGAGGTGGTTGAGTAATTAAATCAAATTATTTAATGTAAGCTGCAACCCTGCGTCTGCTTGGCTGGGAATAAGCCCCATTAATTAAACTCTGTGAGGCTCTGATTCCGAGTAAACACACTTAGGATCGCCAAGTCATTATGCTTTGTATTTTTGGAAAACTTGTATTTAGTAATCTTTTGGCCATACCATGACATTTCTGACACCAGAGTAAGAGCAGACGCAATGGACAGATCGGAAAGAGTGAACCCCTCTTCCTTCTCACTTCATTGGCACCCAGGAAGTTGATATGCAGAAGAAAAAATACAAGAAATAAACAAACACAATCAAATAAAATATTGCAAAACTGGGAGACAGAGCCAGTGCGGTACAGTGGTTAGTGTTTTGGACTAGGATCTGGGAGAGCCAGGTTCGAATCCTCAAAGTGCTGTAGTAGCTTGTTGGGTGACCTTGGGCCAGTCACACACTCTCAGCCTAACCTATCTTACAGGGTTGTTGTGAGGATAAAATGGAGGCAAGGGGGATGATTTAGGTCCTTACTGCAAGAGAGTATAAATAAAGTAAAATAAAATACAAGGGTTTATAAATGCATGAGTGCCCTAACTATTTTTCCTCAAATAAACGATCTCTGACCGTCAAGGTCTCAATCCTTCCAAATCTGTCCCAGGAGTTTTTTCCCTTTGTTAAACAGTTCCCCTTGTTTCTGCCTATATTGGCCATTGCCCTGATTGGGCACACAGTTGGGTGTAAAAACTTAAGTCAGCAGCACCAAAGAATTAATAATGAAAGTCTTCTTCTTTATACTCAGGCTACCCTGGTGTGAATTTGTCAGAATTTAGACAGATGTGTGTGTATAGGGTATGTGTATCCCTGATCACATATGGTAATGTCTGTGGAACAATTTCTGAAAAATCTTAAATGACATCAATTATGATTCTTTTTTAGCATGCAACATTCCAACCCTTTCTTGAGTCAAAATGGTTTTCATTAGAAATTAATCAAAGCATGCTGGAATTAGAAAGGAAGGCTTCTTTTGATATGTAGTAAGAAAGCGCCTGAAATTTTTCTTTTACATAGGCCCCATTCACACGGAGAATTTGCCACGGGAGAGCGACGAGTGCATGGCGGATTATCCAGGCGCGATCATACCACAACATCTGGGAAGTGGAGCGCACCCGTAGCAAACCCGTGGCATACCGTCAAAAGTGCAGGATTAAAAACTACCTGCTCAGAGGTACTAGCAACCGGTTGGCCATGGGCTGCCTCCGGAGTCCCTCGGTGTGATCGCGCCAGCCGTGACTTTTCCCTCCGGCCCCTCGTTGATGCGCAGGCACGGAGGGAAGGAACCGTAGAGTGCCGCCGACGCGTGGGATCGCATTATGGCGGCTCTAATTGCGACGGTGCAAAAAGCCCCGCCTCCCCCCATGTTATCCGGCCCGTGTGACTAGGGCCATAGTAAGTTTTCTACTCTTCCTACCCCCGCCCAACCCTATATCCATGGAAACTTGGTTCTGGATGTAGATAGGAAGATGCCCCACTCATAGCAACCTATCACAAGTCCTTATTGAAATCCGTTTCCTTACTGCATACATTCCCTTGCAAATCACACCTGTTGATACCTTTGTCTCATCTGGCATGCAGAGTGCCATGTTTGTTCAGATGTGGAACTAGCTGGGGCATTTTAGGAGGATGTATTACCCCACCATCATTCTTCTTGCTGAAAATAAGCCATATCATAGTGAAAGGAGGCATCTGATGAAAGAAATCCATTTGTCTCAGCTTTCTCCAGGTGCTGCAACTAGCTGTCTGAAATAAGGAGGTGCTGTCTGGAATACCAGACCAGCTGCAATTAAATGATAAAGACCAAGACCACAAGGACAGCAGAGATATTAGGCCTCAGACCTTCCAGAAATTGCAAACTTATCCCATATGTCAAACTAGCAGACACTTCCCACAATTAGAAAAGACAACTTTAGACATTTATCTGCTAGTTTGACATATTTATTGCTTTACAACTGTTGACCGTATAGCCTTAACTTGTTATTCAGTGTCACTTTGCATAGCTTGATCATCATCATGTTGCATGTTAATTCGCTGTTCATTCTCTGGCTGTAAGTCTGAACCCTGACTGGCATTCTAATGTATTTGATAAAGTATAAGTGCACATGAAAGATCATACCTTGAATAAACCTTTGTTGGTCTTAAAGGTGCCATTGGACTCTACATTTGTTGTAAGGGGGAGAAGGTTGTATTAATCATCAGTCACAGGTTGTTGTGAATGGTCACTGCCCTTCTCCTCAACACTTTCTTGAATGTTGTATAGAAATGGCACAAGTGACAGTTCTTTCATTTCATGGCCTTTGAACCCCAGTTTCCCTGTTTGTGTGTGTATCTGCAGACTGAGTTTTCACTTTGCACATCTGTCAAAGCAAGCTGTGGTCCATATACACCTTTGCTACAATAAAATGGTTAGTTTTTAAGATGCCTCAAGACCGTTTTTGTTCTAACCCTTGGTTGTGTTGTTCTGTCCGCCCCTGCCTTTGGCTTACCTGGTCCTGAACTTGGTCTTCCTTGTGGTAGACGTCATTTGCAAATCTTGGTGCCTTTCCTCCTTTTGCTCCTCCTCCCTATGGTGGAACAAGGTTCGGGTTTCCATTCTGGGAGTTTCAGAGGAATCTTTCCTGCAGGGAATAACAGCATGATGCTGTTCAAGAAAACCAACCATGACAGACAGCACAAAAGGAGGGTTACCATGCCAAAGCCATGCCATATTAAGGCACACACGCACACAAAGATAGACTGCCTGAGCATCCCATTCTCCTTGTCAGAGCCCTAGCCAGAGCAGACAGCCATAATTTCATTACTGAACTCACTACGGAAGCACAGGATTGGGTTCAGAAGCATGCATGTGTACAGATTTCCACTTTAAACAACATTTGCACAGTGCTGACTTGTTAATCCTTGTGTCAGCCAACCCCCTCTCATCTGAGCACTACGTGCCATTTAACTTACAGGGCCCTGTAGGCCACTGCCCAAGAAGGCCACTGCTGACCAGTAACAAGCATAACCAAAGTCTAGCAACTCTGCCAGAGCCTCAGGGGCCACTTGGCTCAGGCTGTTCATCAGCAACAGTAATTGGTGTCAGTTTACCAACTGTCTTTCCCCACTCTGCTGCCAGTTTTCAGGAGGAAGCAATGGGTGCACTAAATACACAGTTGTTTGCACCGCCGAGGTGAGGGGCCACTTGGTCTTACTTGTTGCAGGGCCAGTTCCATCCTCTCCCCTCTCCTGACCATGCACAAAGTTGATTGGGTGCAGAGGTCATTTCGGGGGGGATTGCGGGGGATCGCAGTTCCCCCGGGTGAGGTATGGGGAGCGGGGCACATGACGCAGCCCCGCCCCCTGCTTCCGGCCGCCCCGTTTCCGGCCCTCATTCAGCCAGGAGGAGGCAGGAGAAGAGGGATGGTAAGTTGCTTCCTCCCTGCCTCTCCCCACCCCTGCCTGCCTGGGGCCAGGGAGGGCCTTCGCGGGGCTTCCTTGCACTCCCGCCGGCCTTGCAGGTCCACCGCTGGGCCCCTCATGGGACTCGGCAGTGGAGCTGCAAGGCCGGCGGCCGGGACCGTTGGGGGCAGGGTGTGTGGCCTTATGACACACTTCCGGTGATGTCAGGGGGTGTGGCATATGCTAATGAGTTATGCTAATGAGTTCCCCTAGCTCTTTTTCTATGAAACGACCCCTGATTGTGTGCTCCATGCTAAAGCCCCCCCCCCAATGATCTTGGAGAAGATTTTGAAGTGTAAAAATAGCGTGGGGGGGAATCTTTGGATCTGATAACCACTCAAGTACTTGGGGAGGCAAGTGGCAGAAGGGGCGGGGGACTGGAAATACTGTGTGGTGGAAGGGCATCACACATGCAATGATGTCACTTCTGGGGAATACCTGAAAGTGATGGCTGTAGCTCTAGAAATCACAGGAAACCGGAAACAACATCATCACATGCACAATGGTGGGGAATGGGAACTTGGGGTAGGGGATCCCCTACCCCAACCAAGGGCTTGACAGTCCTGCCCTGCAATTACATTCCTCCCCCACCCCATATGATTTGTTCCTTGGCCAAGGCACAAAAGTTACTGTTTGGGGTGGCACCATGAGGTGGGTACTGTTGCATTGTGGAGGCTTGGCTGGCTCCCAGGTCTATGGGTCTATGCTGCCACCAACTGTGTCCGAGTCGTCCCTACGGTAATGACACAGAACCCTGTTTTGGACCTGATCAATGTATGGCATTCCAAGAGGGGGTAGGTGTATCACAGAGTTGCCAATTTTGGATTGGGAAATTCCTGGAGGTTTTTCATGTGGATCCTGTGGGATACGCTGTAACGAAATGGCTGTCAGGCAGAGGCAGCAGTTTATTTTAAAATGGCTGCCAGTCAGGTAGTCCTTCTGGAGGGGGGAAGTGCTCCATAGGGAACAATGGAACTGCCATACCTCCCTGCCTACATTTCCCAGCAGCTTTAGGGGAAAAGTGCGGGAAAGTATGGACCCACCCCAGGGGCGGAGCCAGCCAGATAAAGGGTTCTGCTCATCTAGGGAGGAGTCAGTTGGCCTTCGCCTCAGCCTTGGAGGAGAGCTTCAAGGGGTGGTGTACAGGAGGGACTCCTGTTACCTCAGACTCCGTGGGCAATCCAGGCCACTATAAATCGTGGTGGAGAGCCAGGAGGGTGGCAGTCCATGTTCCCTCTAAGCTGTGGAGTCTTGTGAGCAAAAATCTTACTTTGTGAACGACTGGCATTAAAGTTGTGAGCGAGCGATTTGGCTGCTGCAGAAATTAGCTTGTTCTGGAGCCATTTTTTTCTGAGCAAAGACAAAAATGTGTGAGCCAGAAATTAAAAAACTGTGAGCTAGCTCACACTAACTCAGCTAAGTGGGAACACTGGTGGCAGTACTGGTGACCAGTCCTGAGGAGGGCTGGGGTTTCTCTTCAACAACAAGGAGGGGGAAAGCAAATCCTATCCTGTGGCCACAACCTCCAGAAGTAGAAAGGGTGTGTGTAGGGGACAGAGGAATGGCATTTTGATCCTGCTTATTTTCTGCCCGGTTGTGTTGAAGTGCCTGTGTTATTTTCTGTGCCTAACCTTGCATATAGTTTAAGTAAATCTTCTTTTTGAGTTATAAGACCTGGTAGTGCCTTGACCACATAGTCCTCCGCACTCAGCACTTTACCAGAGGCAAAGGGAGGCCAGGGAACCCAAATCAGAGAGGTTGCCAACTCTCCAGGGGGTGCCCAAAGATGGAGGTACCCACTTTCCCGGGTTGGGGAATCAGCCAGAGGGGTCTCACTGTCCCTCTAGGAAGGCGGTGTGAATCCAGTGAGTGGTGGCAACGAATGAGGAAGGGGAATAGCCCCACCAGGCAGGGTGGGCAGACGAAAACAGGGGCTTGCGTGCCAGCGAATGGCTATTCAGTCTCTCAGGGCTGGGGGCGGGTTCCAGTTTCGCCACTCTCCAAAGTAGTCATTTTCTCCAAGGGAACTGATCTCTGGAGGTCAATTGTAATTCTGGGAGACCTCCGATTCCCACCTAGAGACTTGCAACCCCAGCTTGCCTGGGGGTGACAAAATACCTTGAACCGACCTTGCCCTCTCCCACCTGCTCCCGGTTCTGTCTATGTTAATCTGCCTCCCAAGCAGAGGTCATTTCGCGGGGGATCGCAGTTCCCCCGGTTGAGGTACGGGGGGCGGGGCACATGACGAAGCCCCGCCCCCTGCTTCCGGCCGCCCTGCTTCCGGCCCTTATTCAGCCAGGAGGAGGCAGGAGAAGAGGGAGGGTAAGTTGCTTCCTCCCTGCCTCTCCCCACCCCTGCCTGCCTGGGGCCAGGGAGGGCCTTCGCGGCGCTTCCTTGCACTCCCGCCGGCCTTGCAGGTCCACCACCGGGCCCCTCATGGGGCTCAGCAGTGGAGCTGCAAGGCCGGCGGCGGCAGCCGGGACCGTTGGGGGGGGGGGGTGTGGCCTTATGACACCCGGTGATGTCAGGGGGTGTGGCATATGCTAATGAGTTATGCTAATGAGTTCCCCTAGCTCTTTTTCTACGAAATGACCCCTGCTCCCAAGTATCTTTAAGAATTATTCTCAAGGTCTTTTTTGGCAGAGCAGTTGGCCAAGGTTAAATTTCTAATTGGTGGGAGTGTTCGGTGCACTTTTTAAAAAGAAGCTTTGTCTGATTTTATGCATGAAGGTAGTTTTCCAGCAGGCACTTTGCCCTGAGGCTGAAAGGTTGGGCAGATCAAAAAGTACAGCACACCTCGTAAACCATTAGTGGCACACAAATACTGTAGCAGTTTGTTTCTTTTAAATCCAGTAATAAGAAATTAATAACAACAATGTTGCTTTTTTTGATCAAAGACTGCATTTTGCCGCGCTCTCCCAGTTTGAGTGCATGAGGCTGAAATATCTTAACAAGCAGAGTAAAGTCAGTCACTGTCAAGAGGTGCAAAGAAAGGGAGGCAAGGCAAAACAAGCCAGCTACCCTTGCTGGCCGACATCCATTTTGAGTCATCAGCTGCCAAAGACTACTACATAGTTCAGGCTCCCTTTGGGAACAGCAACAGGCTCTTTTTAGACACGGCCTGCTTAGGGATTAAACACAAATAACATTGGCCTGTACGGTTGCCAACCTCCAGCTGAGTCCTGGAGGTCTCCCAGAATTACAACTGATCTCTGGACTACATAGATCAGTTCCTCTGGAGAAAAACAGCAGCTTTGGAGGGTGGACTTTATGGCACTATACCCTGATAATGGCCCTCCCCTCCCCAAACTGTGCTCTCCCCAGGCTCAACACCGCCCCCCCGCCATTCTCTAGGAATTTCTCAACCCAGAGTCGGCAACCCTACCTGTGTCTTACCACTGCACTCAGCTATGGCTGAAACCTTCCTCAGGAACCTTCCTCTGACTGTAGGGGCTGTTCCTCCAATGGAAGTGCACTTAAATTGGAGAAAGGCTCCTTTGGTTGGAGGAAAGGCTCCCCACGCTTCGCTGAGTGAAACAGAGGACTGAGGCGATTCCTCTTCTGTCCCCCCAAATTTGCATAATCTACCTTGCAACAGCAGCCCTATGTTTATTTGTTATTATTATTTATCCCTTGAAAAAGAAGCAGGTGTGAGGAGAGGGCAGTTCGGATTGGGACCATAGTGCACAGGGAAGGGGGTTTTGAGACTCCCTGTGCCACTTTATTATTTTAGGATGCTTTTATCCAGCTCTTTCTCTAAAGAAGTCAAGGTGTACATCAGTCTCCTTTCCTCCATTTTATCCTCACGGCAACCCTGTGTAGGGTCGCCAACTTCCAGGTGAGGCCTGGAAACCTGGATATCCAGATGACAGAAATTAGTTTCCCTGCGCTGTGTGGATTGTGGACTCTATGGCATCATACCTTGACGAGCTCACTTCCCTCCTCACTAGGCTTGCCAAGTCCCCCCGAGGGGCGGGGAAATCCCCGCCCCAGAGGCCCGTTCCCCGCCACCACCAGATCGGGCCCCGGGGGGAACTCCACCGTGACATGCACGTCACCAGGAAGTGACGCGACCACGCCGGGGGCGGGGCCACGGTCATCCGAGGGAAAACTATGGTTTTCCCTCGGATGGTCGTGGCCCCGCCCCCAGCGTGGTTGCGTCACTTCCTAGTGACGTGGA